AACATCGACCAGACTACACAGCGCAACAACCCAGAAGACAGAAATCTTCATACTCTGATGACGGAGGCAGTATGACCTCTGAAACGTTGGTTAACATCGACCAGACTACACAGCGCAAGAACCCAGAAGACAGAAATCTTCATATATGTTCTTGCACTCCAAGTTATGAGATGAATTGTAAGCTTATGGGGAGGGTAAACGAATGACATCTGTGACATCCGTCCTTCTTGTAATTAACGCTCCATGCTGAAGACGTACAAAACGCACAATTCCCTCTACCATGAGCTATTCTAAAATAAAACCCGTTGTCTCGGTTACCAATGCAAGTATCCAATCAGAATATTGGGTATTTCAACAACCAATAAGGGACTATTTCATTTGCTGACGTATGAATCAAACAACTTACAACAAAGTTTCAGAACCATCGAAGTTCTTCGGGTGAAAAAGGTACAGATAAACAGTGCAAGAATTACGACGGCGTGTCAGGGATCTTCAGCAAAAAAATTATGTGAAAAATTGTCTGCTTTTTGTTGCAGATATAAATCAAATTTAAACTTTTTAAACTTACTTTTTACTCAATGCAGAATTTTTTATGTTATCTTGTGCGAAAACTGTCCTATAGTTTTATATAGTTTAGATTACAGAACATTTTTTGAAAGTATGTTCGTAGGAAGTTAATTTTTATTATTTCAATTTTAGCTTCCAGAACTTGCGTGGTATGCTTTTGAAATTAAAAACAGAAAGAGAATTAATCTGAAATGACGTGTTACCAGGGATCAAAGTGTTAAAGTCGACCATTAACGCATCGCAAACACGATGAATCTAAATGTGTCATAAGGTTATCGTTGTAAGCTGGAAAGCGACCAATCAAAACTTTTCAATTTTTTGGGTTAAACTGGTTAAGAATTATGGTATTTATTTTAATGTTTGAAATGCGATGTGGTCCACTTTATTTATACATATTGTTGTTCGTGTCTATATTAATAACGCAATCCCTTCTGAGTGATTGAGCAGTCAACAGTCGTCTATAACAGAAGCGGACATCGAATCGTCTGTCAGTGTAAGTGTTAACCCTGCAAAGCCCGGTGGTAACTATGTGTACCACATGTTACAATAATAAATAACTGTATTTGTTTAGTAAGGTTCTCACTGTAATCAGCGATTATTTCCTTAAACAACAATAACCAGTTCATCTTTGTAATGGAGTGTGTTGTGTTTTCTTTGCGGTACGGACTTTAAAGGGTAAAAGTGAAATATGAAACCTGATAATTCTACATTTCAAAATCCAGCATTTTTAAAACTGAGTTTGAACCGATTGTCTGTATTAATCTTCTCATCTTTAAAATTAATTTTACGAAACATAAACTGATGATGGCTGTCTTCTGGGTAGTTGCGCCGTGCTGTCTAGTAGATTACCGACGTTTCAGAGGTCCTTCCTGCCTCCATCAGCAGGGCCTCTGAAACGCTGGTAAATGTCTACCAGACTACACGGCGCTACAATCCACAAGACAGCCATCATCGTTCTGACCGCCGTGAGAACCTCAAATTCTACTTAGAAATTGTTGAAATAAAAGTACGAGTTTACACGTTTTAATGTAGCTCCAGACCAAATGTGTACACATTTAAGTGTAAAGAAAATGCCAGTTCAAACACAAACTACAATTCATAAAAATCAAAGCATACAAAAACTATTAAACTATTAAATTATGCAACTATTCATGAGATGATAAAGTTGCGTCATATTGTGATAAATATATATTTGTTTAAATCTTATCAGTCTAATCACAATAAAATTCCTATTAAATATTAAAATATTACTATAATTAACATTTAAATATTTAAAATATATTATATGATGTTCTCTATCGAAATGTTCGATTTACATCGATGTAAATCGAACATTTCGATAGAGAACATCATATAATATATTTTAAATATTTAAATGTTAATTATAGTAATATTTTAATATTTAATAGGAATTTTATTGTGATTAGACTGATAAGATTTAAACAAATAAAGTATGCAAACACAATTTATCCAGAAGCATGCTCGAAAGAGTTCAAATTAAGCATCACGTAAAAGCAAACTCAGATACGGCCAGAACATTATTTAAACTCAAGAAACTAAAAATAATTACAGAATTTTGATAAAGATGTCACTTGAAACGGGGAAAATGTAGGACAATATTAAAAATATTAATTCATGAAACCTTCTTCGGTTAACTAAAAAGAAAACTATTACATGTAGCACGCGTGGAGATGACGAGAGGTACGTACACATTTTTCTTACGGAAAACTTGAGCGGAAGAGATCACTTGGTATTAATAGGTGCAAACTGGAGTATAATATTAAAGCTGAGGTTGTGCGGCGTGTGGACTGATCAACAGGCAAAGCATAGGATCCAATGTCCAAGACCGTAACGAACGCTGGGGTAACACAAATGCAACGGACTGTACTCCATGGTGCTCGTCAGACTGTGAGGTTGAGAGGTGAATGGAATTCGCTCCAGATAATGTCCAATGCTGTGTTCTCGCACTGGCGGTGTTGAACCTTGGATTATTAGCAGCTGGCAGCGGATAAAACCAAAACCATGCAGATTAGTTTGCAATCAAGCAGCGTATAATCTTGATATTGGATAACCACCGGTCATGTTGTCTTGTTAATTTAACAGTCTGTCGGAATACAAGCGGCCATAATTTGCCTCATTCTGGACGTTAAAGCAATGTCAACGCCGATCGGAAATCCTCACGGCGGTACCTCGTCGTCTGCTTATTACTTTATTTAATCCTGTTTTCTCAACTACTTAGTATGACGGATTATTCAAACGCAACATCCTCAAATTTACATTCATATTCGGTTGTATCGCTAGTAATTAGCTTTTAAAATCGATTAAAATATATAATAAAATACAGGTCAATACACAAAACTATATTTGGGTGTTAAAATTTAGCGCTCAAATGTAACATCCTTATAGTGATGAATAGCGCTAATTTAAAATTTTAACATTTAAATTTTAAATTTTAACACCCAAATATAGTTTTGTGTATTGACCTGTATTTTATTATATATTTTAATCCAAAACACAAACATGACGCATGTAAACCTTAAACTTTTAAAATCGGTTAAAAAAATTAATTATGTAAATTCACATACGTAACTCGAGTATTTTCGTCTATTTAATAATCGAATCCGACTATATTTTGTCAAAAACACGGCAGACATTTCAAGGGGGTCTGAAATCGTAATTCCCTAATATATATAAGACCTGACTTCGAGCTACGCTACCTTTATAAGAATGCAATTATTATCGAACGTAATGAACGATTAACATTCCTATCTCCTATTTGGGAGGTCATAGCTTAAAATATTGACTAGGATACCGGCTGTTTCTGAGGTCCTCGTGGTATGCCTCACACACACACACACAATCTTTATATCTCTATTAAACTCTTCTAAATAATCTTAAAGATTAAAGGTAAGCTGTTACTCAGATCCCAGAATAAATCATTATTTAAGACAGCTACTTCACTTCTATAATCTGAGAGCTACTTCACGATACAAAGCTATTTTACAAAATACCAATTTTTCTCCAGCTCTGTAGAGGAATTGGGGGCCGGTGAGGGCAGCTGCCCCACAAGGGGCACACATCAACCACAGTCGAGAAACACTTTCAAATTAACAAAAAACACAACTCGAATCGGACTACGAAATGCGATCGGAGCGAATGACTAACCTTCAATTTCTTATACAGACTTGAGGAAAAGGACGTTAAGACCCTAAATTTTCCTTAGGGCAAAAATTTTCATTTACGTCTAAGCCCGCGTCATCAAATTCAACAATTTCATCTTGTCTCATTTCAGCACACGCGCCAAAGCGACGAATTCTTCACCTCTTCAGAAGATTCTCTGCTGGGGCGTCACAGAAACAGAGATTCATCTACAGCAACAGTCAGCACTGGGTCTACCAGCACCGTCAACACCCACAAATACCACCAATACAAGTGCAGAGAAAACAGAATGTCATCCAGTACGCAAAAGGAGCTCAATCTCCTGATTACAACACCACAAGTGCCGGAGTTCAGTCCGAACGATGACAGTTTAAAATACAAAGTCACTGTTCAAGAACCATCGATACAGGACAATGATGTCTGTGATATTAAACCTCAGCCCCAACTCAAGGACACCGATTCATCTAAGAGCAAAATCGAACCAGAAGTTCAAATCAAATGGATACCTCAAGTAAGTTCCTTCCTCCTATGATCTTTTTTTTTACCCCAAAGTGTTGTTTTATGTATTCGTCAGACTTCATTCAATCCTGAAGAATTTACCAACACGCATGGTCACTGATATTGGGTTAGCTATTTAAGGACGCTGTTTCAACTTGCAGAGTTACGCCTATACCAAAATGGCACTATAACGCATTTGGTAATATTTCGACATTCAATTATTCGTGTTTCCCCCCCCCCGTCTAATCACAATTGTATATAAATAAAATTATACGTAAGATATTAAAATATCATTTACATATTTGGTACAACTTTTTACTACATGTTTCGGTTACATTGAACCATCTTCAGGTGTAAAGTTAAAAATTATAATCTTATATATCAACTTCTTGACGATGGTGAAGAGTCAATTGAATAAAAATTTACTTGGATATTATCCATCGTCTAGTAATAAAACGTAAAACGACGTTTCGGAGATGAGGCTCTATCTCCGTCTTCAGGTTCCTACTCAGTTGGGCCCACTAGATAGAGCTAATCCCTATCTCCGGACCTCTTGGATATTATCCATCGTCTAGTAAATATAAAACGTAAAACGACGTTTCGGAGATAGGGATTAGCTCTATCTAGTGGGCCCAACTGTGTAGGAACCTGAAGACGGAGATAGAGTCCCATCTCCGAAACGTCGTTTTACGTTTTATATTTACTAGACGATGGATAATATCCAAGTAAATTTTTATTCAATTCAAGAAAAACGTATTTAGTATAGTTAGCTTACAATCGGGATTCGAACCTGGAACCTATGTAATAAGAACCAGGCGCGTTAACGTTGTGGCTCTTAGTTCCGTATATCAAATTTACAAAGAATACAAACATATGTAGGAACAAACAGTACCAGCTGACTGGAAGTCATGTGACGAACGCTTTCAAGACGTCGGGTCGCCTGAGACCACTTACAACGGACGTGACAGAGTGACAGACAGGTGGGACGACTAGATACCGGGCACATTTACCCCACAGCTGGCTCAAACATTAACAATAAAATGGGAAGTTTTCGTTCTTCCTGTGACGTAAGCAAGGAACTCAGAAATGTTGTGGCATTTTAAATGCAACCAAATTTGGTACACAATAAGACAATTATTTTTGAACGCAAAAGGTCAGGAGTAAGCAGCCACGATGTAAAGAAACGTTGTCTGGAGTAGCAGAACAGCGTAAGTGCGTATTTTATTCCAAGCGAAATGATGTTTTAGCCATCTTGTCTTGCGTCCACATTCAGGGATGATAAAACTCACACCCTCGCCTTTCCAAATAGCATTTTCGTTTCTGTTTCGAGGAATACGTTTATGCATTTATATGTATTTTAGCTTGAATACATTGAGCTCGAATTGCAAAATAAAGAAAAGAGAAAACTGTTCATGAAATTAGGAAAATAAATCAAACTTCAGTTGCAGAATAATAACGAACATAATAATGATAATGTAAGAATATCGGGAAAAATTATAATGCTAATTAACAAACATAATGAAATACATTTGTTTTAAATCTTGTCAGTCTAATCACAATAAAATTCCTATTAAATATTAAAATATTAATATAATTAACATTTAAATATTTTAAAATATATTAAATGATGTTCTCTATCGAAATGTTCGATTTACATTAGATCATCAATTTTTTCACGACATGTTTCAGTTCTAAAAGAACCATCTTCAGGTGTATAAAATTATATAAACTTAAATATAATTTCTTAAATGCAACTTTTAGTCAGATGTTTATCAGATTTCAAATTTCAAATGATGTTTTCTATTTATATTTTTATTTTATATTTAAATTTATATAATTTTATACACCTGAAGATGGTTCCTTTAGAACTGAAACACGTCGTGTAAAAAGTGATGATCTAATGTAAATCGGAAATACGTTTAAATGATTGTTATTTACAATTTACAATTGTTAATGTGATCGCTGATAGTGACTTCCTCCTACCACTTCGTTAGTTCTTAATAACTGAGGTCCAAAATGCTTCACAGCCTCTTGCAATCCACGGTACCCTCAAACGCCCCCCAATGAGGGGAGGCGAAATACGATATTTGATCCAAAGATTTTAAGCGGGCTTTCGAGTTTATTACATAACGAGAAACTCTCTGATTTACACATCTCACTTCCAATCATTTTTGATAGTCAAACTAAGGAGGTTACAATGAGATGTAAACGTAGCTATTAATAAAAGTTGCATCTTTGTCAAAATTCTCCACAAAATTTCAAAAAATCTACATTCGCACTACCGTCAAATATTTTACTGTTGAAGATATAGAGTAACAAATGAATGATATAGACAATATACAATGGCACGACAAGGCCTGTTGTTTATAAAATTCGTTACCACGGTTCCGAAAAAAAGAATTGTTTCTCTTCTAACCCCTAAAAACTGAATACGAAGCCATCGGGACCAGGCTCTCTCCGTTTCTACAATAATGTCCTGCCTTTTCGCAACATAATTCCCATAAGTACGAATTTGTATCTTACAACAGTTATGCCCCCAGAAAAAAAAAAAGACGTTAAGGGTTACGAACGCATGACCGGAATACACAGTACGTGCATTATACGTGCTACCATTCACTAATTATCTGACGTCATTAATTTATCGAAACTGACACGATACTACTAGGAACCTGAAAATTTGTTACTTAAATGGGCTTATCCTAATACTTGCGCCAGGAACCTACTCATCACATCCAAATTAAATTCAGTGTTACAAGTCCGAACGTTTTCCACGTCGCCTAATATTGTTCGGGATATTAAATAAAGGAAATTGGCGGGAAATGTATCACGCAAGAGACAAATTCGCGTACAATTTTAGTAGTAAAACTTCAAAGGCAGAGATAACTTTAGAGACCGAGGAGTAAATCAATGATAAACACGCAGCTTGTCGTTTATTGAATCAGTTTTTCCAGAATTTAAACTTCCTGCAAACACTACTTCACCATTATCAGCTAACTGCTTCGTCCTATTAAGATATTCTTCATGATTGTACCTATTTTAATTGGAGAATCTCGAAATGAATACCTCTGATATAAGGAGCGCCTATCTTCAACAGAAAAGTCAACAAATCGTAATAGAATTTTAAAGCGTTTAGAGAATAAATAGAAAAAAGACGATGAATGTCTTGAGGATTGTTACGCTGTGTAGTCTGGTATACGTTCACCGACGTTTCAGAGGTCCTTTCTGCCTCCACCGCCCTGAAGATGGAGGCAGTAAGAACTTCTGAACACGGCGCTACAACCCAGAAGACAAGTCACCTTCATACTCGCCGCCGTCAGAACCTGAAATATCAGACGTTTCAAAATTTGTGGGTATTCTCAAAACATGGAAGTATGTTTATATTTTTTAATGGCAAAGACTTTCTTTCACAACTTAGACGGGGTATGTCCGGTGGTCAATGCGGCAAGATATGTGATTACAGTCACGGCTGTAATTCGTCACAGGAATATTAAACGTCTTCTCATCTACAATGAATGAACTTAAGAATCAGGCAAACAATGTCACGTCGACTCAACCGGTTATATGGAATCAAACTACAAGACGGTTACGACTGACAAATTGAGGATGACGAAGAAATAGCCGTGGTCTATTTTAAGACATTATCTCAGAATTTACCTGTGATGACTGAAAAATCACGAAAATTTCAACCAGTCTCCAAATTCCCATGCCGATCACGAAGACCCCATTATAATTACAGTTCGCTACAGAAACAGAACGCCACGGTGGTCTAGCGGTTAGAACGCTGGCCTTGTAATCCTGGGGTCTCGGGTTCGAATTTATAACTTGTGTTGGGCAAGGCCGTGGTCTAGGCAACACGGAGTTTTCCTCCGTGGCATCCCAACAATTACTCCATTCACACACAGAAGAAGGCAATGGCAAACCACTTCTGGATCATCTGCCAAGAACGTATATGAACAGGTCCCAGTCCGAGAAGAGAAAAGGATGGAAGGATCCTGTTCATATGGACCTGTCCTCAGACAGAACACTACAAATAAAAAAACAGAAACAGAGCAAAAGAAAGGCTTTCGGCAGGTTTTGTAACAGCTTCAGCACGGCAATGCACTAGGTACAAAAATGGATGTCATGATCGTCTGATTTCACAGAAACTGGGTTAAGGACTCCTACATGTAGCTATACAGACCACGCTGCAGGCTTTCCTCGTCAATTTGACATATCGTAACAAGATATAGTTGGCTGATTTACCGACCAGTGTTGCAGTAAGTATACCGTAGTTCCAGACCAAATTTGTTGCAAGTAAATCTAACGGCAGCGACCACGACTTAATCGATAATCGATCTCGCAGTACCAAAGCCATGCACGGTATTGCGGGGGCCCAGGAGAAAACGAGACAGCAGACTAATCATTCCATGTAGACATTTGGGAAAGAAGAGATCACCCTGTAGGATATGGTGGCAGTTTTACGTACGATTATAGGTAACTCATCACGATTATTTCAAATGTGTTTTGCATTACATCCCTAGTAAACACTCCAGCGTGGAACTACTAACAGCTTATATCCTGAGGAAGATCGTACCGTAGCAATCAATTAATTCCAAACATATTTTCCACACGACATTACGCGATAAGCCTCAGGGTTAAGTAGTGACCATGGCCCATGGACAGATATCCGGTATCATGGTGCCAGATAATAATAATAATAATAATAATGCATTGTATTCCTCGGCTCCAAATTTAATTCTTAAGATTCTGTGTTGTTTTTAAAATGCAGCTTTAAAGATGCTAAACTTAATCTTATTTTAAAATGTTTATGCAAGTGTTAAAATTGATTTTCCACTGCATCTCCCGAAGTCCAAGGTCTATCTTACCTTCGACACTCATAAAGTATTCTTGGGATACTGGATTAAATACAATGTACAACCGACAAAGAGAATTCTCCCATAATGATTCAAGGATTATTACAAGGTCAATTTGAGATAAGACTGTTTTCTTTTAATAATATTAACGTTACCAAGACTTTAGTTGATAATGTTAACAATTACTTAAACAATACAGCATATATTTAAATATATTTAGAGGCCGCGCCGCAGACATTCCAAATTCGAAGACAGGAACCTGCATTATAAACATTAAGGTAGTATATTTGCGTCATATTGTGAATTAGGTTAATATTTTAATATTTTCCGTCAAATCACAATTTTAATAAGATAATAAAATATAAAATATTTAAAATATCATTCGATGCGGAACGTGAAATGATATTTTAAATATTTTATTATCTTTTATTATCTTATTAAAATTGTGATTTGACGGATAATATTAAAAAAATATTATAAACATTACAAAATTTCATATAATTTGGATATAATCGAGGGATTAAAATGTGATAATCTTTATATCTGGCGCGCAGCGGTGTTCCAAAGTAACATCAACATCCACAAACATCTTTATTTTGCACCATGTGTCATAGTTCAGACACCAAAGCGTAAAAATATACCAAATAACATTCCGTAATGGCAGAATTAACACGAACATGGCGATCGGCGACATTCTGACATATTCACAAATTCCGGACAAACGAATAAACAACGAGCAAAGAAAACGTGCCCCAGAGATGTCGCAAAGAAGGGCAAATGGCTTTGGCGTGCAATGAAAGAGTTTTAAGTGTCACAAGAAAAGTAATACGTATATGATACATCATAAGACCTTACTCGTACGACCTTTTAGGTCCTCAATAAAGGGGAATATTGGGGAGGGGATACAGAGAGAGGACGTACTTAACCCAGGCCCTTATAAGCAGCACGGAGAAGACTCCACAACACATACATATATAAGAGATACAAAACGCATAGCTCAACAGTACAAGAGTTTATTTAACATTCAGTGCGTGAGCGGATCTGTCTGTCTTCATAACTCAAATAAACTTGTGATTGCTAATTGCTGCTAATCCTCCTTTGGAACATTCAGTTAGAAATTTTTTTTTTACAGAAACACTCCCAGTATCAAGCAAGCATTTAAGCACTGAAGTAATTTGAATTGATTTGCTAAAAGTTAATACTCGATAATAATGCTTACGACACTACAAATTCTTTGAACTGTAGTTAAGACAGGACGACACCAGTACCAAGAACATTCGGTATAAACTTCGCTGTGTTATCTTAAAGACATCCTGTGTGTGGTCGGTTTCCGAGTTCGCCT